ATTCCGATTGAGCGTGTTCCTTGTGACGCGATTCGGTGATTTCCTGAGTGTGTGTCCTATCCACTTCTAATACTTCTTGATTTCCTCCTCTACTGGGATCTGGTTTGTTCTCTCCTACAGTAGATTGTTTTTGATAGTGTCTGGCCAACGGATCCGAAATATTTTGTATAGACAAGTGTTAATAAACACTTGTATGTTCTGGATGGTGGCTTTCGTAGTTCTGCAAGTTTCCGTCCCATACAGTAGAACTGTCTTGACATTGGTATTGAAAATTCTGACTTCGGTGTTTGATGACAGTTGTTTTGAGTTCCAGATGTTCTTCAGTCGTAAATATGCTGCTCTTAATTTGCCGATCCGTGCCGTTACATTTGCATCAGATCCACCGTGTTCATCAATGATGCTGTCCAAATATGTAAAGGTTTTTACATCTTCCAAATCTTCTCCATCAAGTATCATTGGATTGATGCGTGTTGCGTTGTATCGGAGAATCTTTCTTTCTCCTTTGTATATGTTGAGACCTACTGCTGTTGAGACTGCTGCTACACTGGTCTTCTTCTTCTGCATTTGTTGTTGAGTGTGCTATAGAGTATCATCCTTTAAATATGAATAAGACTGATTGAAAACACTTTACATTGATTGTATAGTAGTCAAATTAAGAATTGGATTCAGAAAAGTTTCGATTATGTGGGATTCAATCGATTTTCAGTCTGTCGATCGTAAGTACTTTTAATTCACTTTTGAAAGGAGTCTTTAGGGCTAATGGATTAGGTCTTTTGACCAAGGATTTAAACGGATTTGTTTTATACTGTAGTAGGGTAAGTTCTATGAAGGTTAGTTTCTCTATCAACACTACTTTTTACTGTCTCAGCTGATTCGATCGTTGGTACAAAAGCAATAGTACTATCACATTCCTCATCTCTTAGCAAAAAAATTGCTAGATGAAGTTCGATAAACTTGCCCAGTAAATTCAGTACCCCCATACTTAATTCTTAGTATTGTGTAAGTACCATCTGTGTAGTGACAACAGAATATGTAATCGATTTATTTGTACTAACATTCCACTATAGTAAGATTTTGTCCTTTTTTATACCCATCTATAGAACTTTTTGTTTTTGCTTACAGATTTTTAAAATGGACTTTTATAGTCATCATACTAATATTGATAAAAGGATCACATGCTTTAGTATCAATGAAAGATGTTTCGTAAACCTATCAACAGATCAATATTCAAAGGATTGTGAATATCATTTTGAGTTTGATAGAAATCTCCGTGCAGAAGTCTAGCTGTCTAGGCTTTGAATTTGAATTCAATCAGTTGTTGTATGGTTATTTCATTTAACTGAAAAGTTTTTCTAACTCTTAGAGACCTTCAAAAGCTATCTTTTTCATTTCATTCATAGTATATGGTTCTAATATTTTTCTGTTTGATTGAACGTGAGTACGACTTAATACCTTCTAGTAATCATCAAGGTAACGAATAGTTTCTGTTACACTCATTTACGATATCTACAATACTTTTCACTTTTTGTTTGAGATCATGAACCGAATGATGTTAGACCACCACTGAAAACCTGAACGCACTAGATGGCCGTTTCGTCCTATTGTGATACTCCTCAGCAGCGTGCATTCACGGTCCCACTCGCGAGATTCCAACCCAGGGTCTTTAGTCTCGCGCGCGGACGCCTAACCTCTAGACCACTGAGCTCGCCGGCATCCAACGGTGTTAATGTCTAACTTCAAACAATCCACGAAATTACGCGACCGTCATCCATTGTACTGAGGTGGATACCTGTCTTTACTCGACATGGATTAGCTCCACTGGTCATGGCTTCTCACTAAAACTACGAGAATTCCTTCACGAAGCTAGTCACTAGTGAGTACATGATTCATGATCTCAATCAAAAACTTAATAATCTCCACAACCCTATACTGATAATTTTTTCACTTCAGTGGGTCATGTGCTTCAATCCAGATGTTTACTATGGATATATAATGAGGCTCAATTCTTAACAAATTACAATCAATTAAACATTTGTATTCAAACTGTTGTATCTGACTTCTTGAAACTTCATGATTGTTATTATTCAATAACACCAGATTGAAATAATATTACTGTTCATTCATTCCTTACCTCGTGAGATCGATAGGTTCTGAGTTCGAATCTCGCGTGGCGGGATCTTGGATACGCACTACTGAGAAGTCATACAATAGGACGAAATGGCCGTCGAATGCTTCCAGGTTTTCCATGATGGTGTAGCTTCAATTGACTCATGATCCTAATCATTAAAAGTATTAATTTCTATATTCGATTGTAAATTTTTCATATTTGTGCGCAGGCATAACGATTATCTGATAAAAAAGCACTATTTCTTTGCTAAATTTTCATGTTCGTAAAATTATTTATTCATCAGATTATTTCTTTGATAAAGTTTACTTTTATAGTTGAATTCACGAGTTAATCTAATCTGAACCACTATTGAAAATCTGAAAACACTGGATGGCCATTTCGTCCTACTATGGGACTCCTCGGAGATGCGCATGCATGATCCCATACCAAAAACACTGGAAATCATGACCTCCATTTTCATGCACAAACTCCTAACCTCTAGACCACTAAGCTGGTGTTCAACGGTGTTAATGCTCAACTTCAATCGATCCATTTATCTATGTAATATATTCCTATACTTCTAGTCCTTATCTAAGGTCCAAACTATCAGAATCATCTATTTATAGAAGTATTAGGAATACATTTATCTTTGTACCTCCATGCTATGGTCAAGTAATCAAAGTGATAATTCACTTATTATAGTAACCAATAAGTTCAGAACAGAGATTATTGAGAGATTTATTGAACTGAATGAAAACCAAGCGAAAGAAGTATTTCACAGTACAAATTAGGTTTAAATTTTCTTTGATATGATATTTCATAATCGAACGGGTAACTGTTATTGAAAAATACCATTAGGAATAAGAAAGTTCTTTATCATTACTTAAATATCATCAATAATGGTTGTTCAGTTTTCTAAAATTTCCTAGATAGAAATAGAATTTATTTGTGTTATAAGTTGTGACCTAATGTTCTATCAATATATAATGGAAGGATATCGCCAAATAAAGAATAGTGACTCATCAACCGGAACAATGAAGCAAAAAACTCGTAAGAGCAGTCTAGAGTGTTTATTGGTATTTCTTCCTGACTGGCCCTGCCTGTTGAGTTCAGAACAATAAATACATGTGTGATGAACTACAAGCAGTTGCATCGTGTGCACCACAGTCACGCTCTCACGTCACTAAAACAACACACAATGCAATCGCCATTTCAGATACCTCTAGATCAACCTCTCCACAATGTGGCAAACCGAGAACTGATAAATACCCCCATACATCTAACAACACTCAACATCACTCGATTCATAATCAATTACCCTAGTTTCAAACACTGGATCTACTCACAGAAATCATTCACAATTTACACATCTCATACATAACTATCTCTAATATTGTCAATCATAATCAATTTATATAATTAATCTCTAGTTTATCATCAAGTCATTTTAACACATTGAATTTCTTCGAAATACCAAATAAATAAACGATATTAAATCATGATAATCACGAGGTTGTCAATCAGTTATCAACGTGGAGACTAACATAGAAGTCAATTGACACAAGGTGTCATATCACATTTGCATTGCATGATAAGATAAAATCAATATTATATATACATATATTTGTACCAAAAGAACTAAGAGTAATGTAGAGGTGATAGTAGTAATAGTAGTAGTCGTGGTAGTACTTATAATGAGATAAAAATAAGCATTAAGAATAGGCTAATCTCGTAAGTATAATTAATTTGTAAAGTACTTTTCAAACTTGTACAAACGTTTATTGAGTACTTTGAAATCACTTACAGTAAGAAAATAATTTGACAAATAAGTAGGATTCTCATTCGAATTCTGTAAATCTCTGGTGGAAGAAAAATATGAAGTTTCGGAATACGATTTATACAATCGTAGCACTGTGCCACAACAATCACATATTGACCGGTATGAGCAGCCTATCGTCCTTATTAATCACTGTTTCTTGAGTAACCCTGCATGTTCAGTCCATATCAGTGATCACAGCCTCCACCATATGCATTATGTATTTCAAACATACTAGGTTTATCATACAGAAACCAAACAGACCACATCACAGCATAAAATAGAAACGAACATTCATATGAGATCAAGTGAAAAGGTGGTTGTGAATATGTGAGACTGTAATGAATAGACTGGACATAACTCAAGAACAGTAAATTGTATCATAATAGTCTATGGATTAAGATGAAGCTTATAATAATGGGAATATGAATATACATAGTTTAGTTACAATAAAAATATATGTTTTGTATTAATCCATAAATAGATCCCTACAGTTACTATCCATTATTATCGTTAGGACATAACAATCTGTTGTAAACGAAAAACTATGAACAACTATTGTTTTCTATTTAATCGGTGAGACTACAATTTATGGACGACCTTTCATCGACTCTAGACTGATGTTAAGAATGTCCATCTGATAACTAGGACCAAATAAGGGTTATCAATGTATGTGAGGAATTCGAATTATGATTTATAATTGACGGAGTTTACATCACGAATTGACATTAGCTATAATGGCAAAATTGAATATCGCGTCAAAACCCAACACCTATTATCTTCAATGCGATTGGTTTATCCATAATTCATAATCCCACTTATTATAGTCTACTAACAATCTGAGTACATATGGATTCAATCCATTAAATGAAATCCTTCAATATGATTGGATTGAAATGACCTTGATAAACCAATAAAAATCTATAAAAAATAATCATCATTTTAACCAATCAAAATTGAAATCATCAATGCGTGGGATGAAATGAAGAAAATAAATTCAAATTCTCTAATATGATTGGTAGATTTAAATTATTTATAATATTGAAATTCGAAAATACTCATTCATTTAAAAAAAAAGTAAATAAGAATGTACCATCCGATGCACATGTATTGCGTTTATTGATCAAAACTGGAATATTTGTACTTTATTTACTTTATTTATTAATTAAATATGTTTATTATATTGAATGTCACTGAAATGTGATACATTTTTTTTAGAATGATCCATTTAAACATTATGAAATTAGATTAGAAGTATGAATCGATTAAATCGTCTAAATGAAATGAATCAAAGAGCATTCTCATTACCACCAAATAATTATCCATATAAAATAGAACATCATTTCATGAATAATACAAATATACCATTATATACACCGAATATTATATCTCCATCAAATAAATTGAATGATGATTATGTCAATCATGAAAAACATCATTATGATTCATTCAATTACAATGATAAACAAGATCCAACAGATAGTGAATTAATATTACAAGAAACATTTAATAATTTTGATATGATAACACGTCAATTTATGGGATTATCATCTAGTTTAAATAGTTTAAATACTGATGATGATAGTGGTTATGTTCATACATCATTTGGTAATCATAATCAATTAATTGATTCAACTTATTCTAATACAAATACTACTAATACTACAACATCTGAAGATTCAAGTAGTATAAGTGTGAATAATAATAATAATAATACTAATAAAGATGAATTATTATTAGTTATGATTGAAGATTTAGTTGATTGGTTTCAACAAATGTATCCAACTATGACTAATGGAATGAATTCAGATAATTTTTTTGATTATTTATCTGATGGTATTTTATTATGTCATCATGCAACTGAATTACATCATCGTTTAGCTTTAGAAACTAATCATTCAATTAATAATTCTAAATCTATCCCATTGCATGGTATACGTATTAGTGGTATACAAGTAACATTACCTAAATCTAGTCCAATTTATCAAAACTATGAATATCATCATTCATCTAATGCGATTATCAGTTTTATATCACGTAATAATGTATCAAATTTTTTACAATGGTGTCGACAACTTGGTATGTATAATTCAATCTTATTTGAAAGTGAAGATTTAGTATGTAAAAAAAATCTACGTAATGTTATTGTATGTTTATTAGAATTAGCACGTCTTGGTAATTATATTCATATGTGTATACCAGATATTGTTAAATTAGAAATAGAAATTGATAAACAATTAACTAATGAATTCAATCAATCAATTAATCAATATTCAATCAATTCAAATAATCATTTATTGAATATCAATAATAATCAAAAAATCAATAATAATAATAATAATAATAATAATGATAATGATGATGATAAAAATCAATTAACTTATTATCGATCAAATTGTTCAATAGGATTACGTAAACAACAACAACAACAACATAGGAACATTTCAATGAATAAAACTAATCAACATACATTATTAGATTGTAATAACAATAATAATAATAATAATACTAATAATAATAATAATAATAATGTGAAGAAGGAGAAACAAAAACAAGAATTACAACGTCCAATTGTTGATTTTCGTTCATTAGATGAATTAGTAAGTTATAAATATATAATTTATCTCCTTCAGCATATAGATAGATATAGTAAACAAAAATGTATAACTTAAGATGTATATTTCGCCCTTAAATGCCTTGATACAGCCACTCACCCTCTCGAAATGCTCTCACATGGCCACGCGTATATAGCCTCTGCCAGGGAAGTCCTACTCATTGCCTTCGCATGGTGGGGGGTGTTGTTTACGAAAATGAGAGGACGAAAAGTGAATGTCCGGAGCTTTAACCGGATCCCAAACCAGTGGTGCACATGGGCTCCAGTATTCTGCGGAAACAAATGGCGTATGAACGAGTCGTTGGTCACCGGCTACCATGGGAATGCATCTACTTACAATGCTTCACTACCTTGTGAATCAGACCTTCAGGTCGAAGGCTCCGGGCGTGCCCCCCTAAGAAAACCACCTGCTTCGATCTGGGCACCCGGACAGTATATCACATCCCTCACGCATATCAAGTGAGATTTGTGTGGCGCATATGCATTTGGTGCCTCCTTGTACCAGTATCTATGTGTTAAAATAATTAAATAAATAACTTATCAGTTGGATATACCTGTATTTTAAACTTGAGATTCATCTTCGAACTCGAGCTCTGTAATGTTTGCTTTAAATATCATTGTATTATCCATTTAACTACAGAGTCCTGATAACCAGTTACCTGTGAAATACTTATTTATTTACTTACTTACTTACGCCTGTTACTCTTCGTGAAGAAGCATAGGCCGCCCACTAACATTCTGCAACCAACCCTGTCCTGGGAAATCCTTTCCAGCTCTTTCCAATTGTTATTTATCCTTTTCACATATCTACTTCTGTTTTCCGACGTAATGTGTTTTTTGGTCTTCCACTTTTCCGTTTCCCTTCAGAATTCCAAGTTAGAGCTTGCCTCGTGATGCAGTTTGATGATTAGCGTAATGTATGTCCTATCCATTTCCATCGTCTTATCCCAATTTCCTCTTGAGCTGGAAGCTGGTTTACTTGGTGTTATTTAATTGAGAAGATTCAAGTAAATAATACCAAGTGAATATAAATATTGGTTTAAAGAGGCATCGGATACATATATCCCACTCTTTATCATTTAATATATGTGAAAGTTTGATCCACAAGGCAGATACAGTCGTATGGTAGCTGGTGACTAACAATAGGTTCATATGTCATTTGTTCCCTCAGGATGCTGGAATACATGTGCACTATCGGTATGGAATCAAGATTTTCCAACTGCTTTACATGGATCTTGTGTACCCACCATTCTGGTTAAAGGGCCGAATATTCGCTTTTTGTGTTGTCAGTTTCGTGAATAACAGTAGTGCAGCGAGAGGGCAGTGAGTAGGACTTCCCTGACAGTGTCTGTATACACGTGGATATTATAATAATTTAACAGTTGAGATGATGAGTCATTTAAAGCTAGAACACCATGGAAAGCCTGGAATCACTGAACAGCCGTTTCGTTCTATTATGTGATTCCTCAGAAGTGCACATCTACAATCCCGCCTTGCGAGACTCGAAGTCAGGATCTATCAGTTACGCGCGTCAGCGCTTAACCTCTATTGGTTCAAAGAGACATCGAATATATATATGCCACACCTTATCATTTGATTTCTATGAAAGTCTAATTCACAGGGAAGTGAATGAACGTAAGGAAATGCAATCCCATGGTGGCCTGTGACCAACAATAAATTCGTATGTCAGTTTTTCCTTCAAGATCCTGGAGCACATGTGCACCACTGGTTTGAAATCAGGATTTTTCACCCCCCTTAGTGGATCGGTTAAAGTGCCGGATATTCGCTTTTTGTTTTCTCAAGTTCGAAAACAACACCCCTACCACGAGAAGGCAGTGAGTAGGATTTTCATGGCAGTGGTTGTATACGCGTAGCCATATGATAGCATTTAACATGGAAGTACGAACTATCCCCACCCTCAACAGTATCAGGGCATTTGGCGGCTATTCATAATTCATTTAATGGAAATTTTTGTATGTATAAATCGTTGATGAAATTAATGAAAGGTTTTTTCATTTTACTATATATCCAATTGAATACAGTATGTGTTCAGTCTATCCAATTTACAAATTATTAATTGAAATGAACATTTGATTTATGTACAATGCTGAATAGATTATCCGAAAGTGATGACTTGAAATTGTGTCTTGAATGAGATTTTCTTATGGATTCTTTTAACACTATTAGATGCCAGCTCAGTGGTTCAGATGTTAAACGTTTAAGTACGATACTGAATGTCCTGAGTTTGATTATCAAGTTCATGCTTATGGACGTATATTATTGAGTAGTCCCCTACTTGAATAAAACTCCTATCAAAGTGTTTCCAAGATCTCAATAATGATCTAGCATTGTTCTATTCATGATTTCAATGAAACTAATCAATACATTTTGAATAATTTGAAGGTTGTTATCGCAGTGAATTGACATTAGATGGAAAATCACTCGAAACTAATAGGTCCTGGGTTCGAATTTCGCGGGATCGGCACGTGGATACACACTGCTGTGAAGTCCCATACTAGGACGAAACAGCCGTACAGTGGAGAAGATTTGTAGCTCAGGTGGATGATTTTGATGGAATTTTGTTTTCTGAGCTGGATGGTTTGGTTGTGGAGCTTTCATCGTTCTTCTGAACGACATCATCAACACAAACTTCAGATAGACGTGAAGTGTTCGAATTTATCCAAATGCGTTTTACAGCTTGTTCTGTACACCTCGACGTACAGTGTTTGCAAGTTTTCCATGATAGTCTAACTTCAATTAACTCATGAATTCAATTATGAAATCATAGAAGTGATAAAAATTTGTAAAATAATCTATCAACATGGAAACTGTTTCTTTTTCTTATCATCCATCGTAATTGTTGTTGTTGTTGTTGCTGTGGATAATCGATATATTCTTATTATAGTGAAAAGAACAAACAATGAGTCATTTCTTTATGTATACATATGGCCAATGGTACTGTTATGTTCGTTAAAGCATGACAACTGACCTGGACAGTATAGGTAGTAAATACAAATATACTTCTTTGTATTTAAGCACTGTAGTATATTTATTATAAAGAAAGTTAAAATAGAAAGATTAGACATACTCATAATATATTTTAGTAATGTGTTAACCGTTATGGTTGTTGTTAAATGACGGATAACTTCTGAGAATTGTTAATGGATTCATATTATATATAAATTCTTATTGTGTAATAGTTAAGTAGCTAGACTATCTGCATATTTATACTTCTCTTATTATAAGCTTCATTTTAATCTATAGACAATTATGATACGATTTACTGTTCTTGAGTTATGCCCAGTCTATTCATTACAGTCTCACATATTCACAGCCACCTTTTCACTTGATCTCGTATAAATGTTCGTTTCTATTTTATGTTGTAATGTGGTCTGTTTGGTTTATGTATATAAATGCAGCATGTTTGAAATACATAATGCATATGGTGGAGGCTGCGATCACTGTTCTGCACTGAACATGCAGGGTCACTCAAGAAATAGTGACTAATGAGAACTCTAGGCTGCTCATACCGGTCAATATGTGATTGTTGTGGCACAGTGCTACGATTGTATAAATCGTATTCCGATTGACGAATAAATCACATGATAACTAGTCAGGAATAAAGTCACAACAGTAAGGAAGCTTCATATTTTTCTTTCAAGAGTGATTTACAGAATTCGAATGAGAATCCTACTTATTTGTCAAATTGTTTTCTTACTGTAAATGATTTCAAAGTACTCAATAAACTTTTGTACAAGTTTAAAAAGTACTTTACAAATTAATTATACTTACGAGATTAGCCTATTCTTAATGCTTATTTTTATCTCATTATAAGTACTACCACGACTACTACTACTACTACTACTACCACCTCTACATTACTCTTAGTTCTTTTGGTACAAATATATGTATGTATAATATTGATTTTATCTTATCATGCAATGCAATTGTGATATGACAACTTGTGTCAATTTACTTCTATGTTAGTCTCCACGTTGATAACTGATTGACAACCTCGTGATTATCATGATTTAATATCGTTTATTTATTTGGTATTTCGAAGAAATTCAATGTGTTAAAATGACTTGATGATAAACTACAGATTAATTATATAAATTGATTATGATTGACAATATTAGAGATAGTTATGTATGAGATGTGTAAATTGTGAATGATTACTGTGAATAGATCCAGTGTTTGGAACTAGAGTAATTGATTATGAATCGAGTGATGTTGAGTGTTGTTAGATGTATGGGGGTATTTATCAGTTCTCGGTTTGCCACATTGTGGAGGGATTGATCTAGAGGTATCTGAAATGGAGATTGTGTTGTGGGTTGTTTTAGTGACGTGAGAGCGTAACTGCTGTGCTCATGGTACAACTGCTTGAGGTCGGTCACATACGATCTTATTGTGAAGAAGTTTCGTGCTAGCTACGTACTCATTAGAATCTTACCGCCGGAGACGGGAATCCGTGAGAGAAGTAGAGAGGTGCATTTTTAGAGCCGATCTTTTCCAACCTCACCCCTCCTGTGGGTAGGCAGCATGGCTATGATGATTGTCAGAAGGGAACAATTTACTACCGTCACGCCTCTGTACAATCAGCAGTATGACTTCGTCTTCAGACCTTGGGTTTGCTGCTTTTAGTCTTACTGCTCTTCAACAGACCTGTCTGGCATGGTAGAACCTTAAAAAACGGTTGTTCTAGCCAGTATAGCTCTTTTGGTTCATCACGATAGTCAAGTCTGACCACCATATTAAGGTAGCAGCAACGGTCAGGGCAGTAAGCAACAGTGCCAGAATGTTTGTGATGCGTTTCTCCCCCTCTAAATGCAATTTGTTGCTTCAGGACTGGCCTGTGTCAACACTTGAACTAAGGGTAGGCAGTGAAGTAGTCGAAAGCGTTGACAACTTCACTTATGTTGGATGTCTAATCAACCTTAATGAGTTGGTGCCTGACGAAATCTCTGTACAGATTCAGAAAGCTCG